TGTTGTATGTAGTTATTTTTTTTTTTTTCGAAACGATAGAAATTATTATAAATCAAAAGCCCACAAATGTGCGAAAACAAGAAGCCAACTGCTGAAAAGTGGGAGGACATGTCAGAAGATCGCCTAGAATCCCGACTAGCAACAGTATAATACAAACTCCCAACTAAACTAAACAGTAACTAGAACAACTAAAACAACTAGAGACGACCCCAACAGGGTAATACTCGAATGCCGGATCCCAACAGGATAATAAATTTTACACCCGGGCGCACTGAAGCCAACGGCCCAAACCTAAAATACAATCACAAACACGAAACTAACACAGACAAAACAAACATAAAAAACATGAATAACAAACCTAAAGAAAGAAAAACCAATAGAGCCCTCCCCCAACAAACAAACAATCCCAACCAGCAGTGGACGATCGACACAAGTAAGATTTCAGCCCCAGAATCCGCTACCGAAACTGCCTACTGCCTATACTTCGTTTGTTGGGTTGCGCTCGTTGCGGGACTTACTGAGCCCCGAACCGATCCCAGAATGGACCCATCGTCAACCGAAAGAGCCGCGACCTACCCTCACACCAGCCCCACTCGCCTAACACCACTAGGCAGACAGGCTCGCACAAAGAAAAATCGCACCCTTAACCTTGACCACCGCGACTGCCAAGCCGCAGCAACCGGAGCCCCGTCCCTCCCCTCAATACGTGCGCCACTCCTTGTATGTAGCTATTAGATTCACTTTTTCATTCAATGTTAATCAATGTGGTTTGGATGGTTTCTCTTATGTTTATCTTTAATATATTTGTGTGAATGGTTTCTCTCTACACATAGCAGGTATTCTTCCTCCGAGCGTCGAGGCAGGGGAGGATCGAATTATTTGGGGTTTCTCCGATGATGGGAAATTCTCGACCCAATCTGCATATCAAGCCTTATCACGTGTGGAGCGCGACTTAGACCAACTGTTATGGCATATTATCTGGCGAGCTCCGGCACCTCAACGAGCCTGTACACTCTTATGGATGGCAGTCAAAGAAAGACTTCTCACCAATGGCGAGCGTATGAGACAGCACATAGCGGGATCTCCAGATTGTGATTTCTGTGGGGAGATTGAGTCTGTCATCCATGTGCTCCGGGACTGCCCATTTGCCAAAGCCCTTTGTGAGCGACTATTACCGGCAGATCATGATGGTTTATTTTTCCAACAGCATCTCAAACTTTGGGTACGTAAGAACCTCATGCTGCGGCGAGGTAGAGAGAATGTGAACTGGAGCAGCACTTTCTTGATTGCGGCTTGGCAAACGTGGAAGTGGCGTAACGAAAGGATCTTTGAGAGTAAATCCCTGACGGCTGAGGTCATGAAGGTCGAGGTTTTGAGGTTGGTCGATAGCTACTCCCAGGCAGAAGCGGCCTATGCGAAGGTTGGTGCGACGACGCATGTTACACGAATGATTCAGTGGGCTCCTCCGGAATCAGGATGGGTTAAAATGAATAGTGATGGAGCATTTGATCACGGGGTTGAGTAGTGCCGGCGGGCTGATCAGGGATGAAATGGGCTGCTGGATTAAGGGATTTGTAATGAATATCGGGCACTGAACTATTATGGGTGCCGAGCTTTGGGGGCTCTTTCAAGGATTGCATTTAGCATGGGACATGGGATATCGACAAGTGATTGTCGAGGTTGATAGCTCATGCGTGGCGACAATGGCACGCAAGCGCGAAGAAGTAAACGGGGCACATGGCTCGCTGGTGAAGGCAATTCGTGGTCTGCTCAAATAAGTTAAATAATATTTTAAATTAAAAAGACATATTAGTTGCATATCATGTTTATACTTTGACTTCTATCATTTTTAAACATATTAATATTATACTTGATACTACTATTTTTCAGTTTAGGATAAAATTACATTAATGCTCTTAGAAATGTATTATATAGTGAAGGCATTTTTCACAATCCTTTTTTTTTT